CTACGAAAACCTACCTACCACTGGCGGTCCTACAGGTCGTAGGTTCAAATCTACAGGTTGACACTGGTACTGTACACAGGTAAGATGGGGAACTAGGGATCAAGCCCTGGGATCTGCACTCGCTACTGCGAACTGGTGAATACCGTTTCACTCCCGCCGGCCTAAATTCGAGGTCCTCCAAGAAAATTTCAGTCCAAGGCAGGACCTTTACCTCTCTGTTGTCTCTCGTAGGCCCGGACTATATCGGGAGCTGTCTTTAGAAGTTCAGACCTCGTAAACCAGCGGTCGTCTTCCGGTTCTTGATAACGAAAATGAACCTTGTACTGTTTCTGTGGACGACCTCTACCTCCAGTTCTGAATATATCTTCAGCCACTATGCCATCGGTGTCATACCTTCCATCCATATCTGGCGAAATCATAGACCTGCGGGATGGAAACTGGTCGCTTGTCTGACAAGGTAACAACTTCGATGCATGAAAAACTGGGTAAGTGTGGAGGTGTGCTGAGAGCTCTATGGTATAGGACGGTCCATCTTCGCCGCCCTTGACTTCTAAGACTGGCCACGGTCCTCTATAGGTGGGCAGTAACTTCTGCGAGATGTTCTCCTCAGGTGCAAACTCTTTAGAAGTGACCCAGACTAAGTCGCCTACCTGGAACTATGAGGGGCGACGATGCTTGTTAGCCTGCTCTATCATCCTGTGCTGGGCCTTCCTTAGGTTTTGTACCACAGTAGCTAGTTCTTTCTCGTGCTGTACAGCAAACTCCCTGGTCCCGGGCGGTAATCTGTGAATCTGATCCCGGTTGAGTGCCTCAAACGGTCTACGCGGTCTAAAGGACTTGTGCAGTTCGTTGGGAGTGCGGTAGGTGGACAAATGCTCGCTGTTATCATACGCACTAGCTACTTTAGGCAACATCTCATCCCAGTTAATCTGATCTGGCCTAATGTACATGCGCATAACTTGCTGTAGGATCTTGTTCATTTGCTCTGTCTGACCGTTAGTCTCTGGATGACGGTCGGACGACATCAACAATTTAGCTCCATAAACTCCCATGAGTTCTTGCCAGTTCAGGCTAGTAAAGCGACTATCTCTATCGCTAACTATGGACAGTGGGATTCCATTCTCACTCACCCAACAGTCAAAAAACCTCTGTATGACTAAATCAGTACGTCCCTCTGAAGGCAAAGGAACAAAAACTGCGTACTTACTAAAACGGTCAACTATGACCATGACTTGGCTCTTGCCATGCCTGCTCTTGACTTGAGTGTCCATGAAGTCTATGGACACTGAGTCTCCCGACTGATCCGGAATGGGCAAGGGTCTGAGAAGACCTAACGGGGCACGCGTAGAAGTCTTGTTGCGCTGACAGACTTTGCAACTGCGAACATACTCTACGCAGTCATTCTTCATTCCTGGCCAGGTATAGGCGCGCATGAGATTGGCTAAAGTCTTTTGCCAACCAAAATGACCCTCTGTATCGTGGCATTCTCCCAGAATCAGACTACGGATCTCTTCACTACTGGGAATGCACAGGCGGTCGAATACATTAGTCTTCTCAAAAAGCAGCCCTTCAGTAGTGCGGTAGTTCGGCTCAGTCTCTAGGGCCTCCTTGACCCTCTTGAGGAGGCCGCTATAGATAGGGTCCTGCGCATAGGCTTCTCTAATCTTCTGCTGCAGGTCCTTCCCTATGTCTAGGTAATGCACTATTGCCCCAAAGTAATCAGCTCTCCTGCTCAGAGCATCCGCAACTACGTTGTATTTTCCCTTGACTGGCTTGAGCTCAAAGTCATACTGATCTATCTCTGCGGCCCACCTAGTAAGCTTAGGTGTCATCTTGGCCTGCGTCCTTAACCATCTCAACGTCTCATGGTCTGAATAGACTTTGAAGTGCCTCCCAAGCAAGTATTGCTTCCAGTGGTCTAATGCTTGCCTGAGAGCGTAGAGTTCCCTTTCATAGGTAGATGTTGCGACCTTCTCTGAAGGCATTCTGGCGGACATGAACTCTACGGGCCTATAACCATGGCCATCGTTTTGCTGCAAAACAACACCTATGCCGTATTGGCTAGCATCTGTCGTGACAACAAAGGGCAAGGACGGGTCGACGACTTTAAGGACTGGATACTCTATCAATGCCTGTTTTAACTTTTTCATGGCAGACGTGCAGTCCTTGTCCCACTTCCAGATGGTCTCCTTCTTGAGCAATCTGCGAAGGGGCGCAACGATGGTGGAGAAGTTCCTTACGAACTTCCTATAGTAGTTGGCTAGGCCTAGAAACGACCGCAACTCTGTCAACGTACGTGGCGTCGACCAATCTTTAATCGCTGCGATCTTGCTATCTTCGGGCTTAACGCCGTTTCCGTCTAAGACGTGGCCTAGGTATAAAACTTGGGTCTTCGCCCAATCACACTTCTTTGCGTTGATCTTGGAGTTAGCTTCCCTCAGCTTCTCCAAGACCTGCCTGAGATGACCCTGATGCTCCTCGAGGGTCTTGCTAAACACTAAGATGTCATCTAAGTAGACTATGACAAACCTATCTAACCACGGCCTAAACAAATCATTTATACACCGCTGATTTGTTAGTCCAAAGGGCATCACTATGAACTCGTAGTGCCCATATCTAGTCCGAAAAGTTGTCTTATACTGGTCATCAGGATGGACCTCTATCTGATAGTATCCGGATTTCAAATCTATCTTAGAGAAATTTTTGGCCCCCTGCACTCGATCTAAGAGATCGTCTATCCTAGGCAGTGGCTCAACATTCTTCACTGTAATAGCATTCAGACCCCTGTAGTCTATACACATTCTTAGCTCTCCCTCCTTCTTGGGGACAAAGAGGACAGGTGCTTCAAAAGGAGATGAACTGGGCCTAATCCAACCCTTCTCGAGGAGCTCGTCCAATTGCTTGCGAAGCTCCTCCAACTCCCGCGGGGACATCCTATACACAGCGCCCTTATGAGTTCTACTGCTAGGCTCTATCTCAATGCGGTGCTGGATGGGCCGCGACACTGTTCCTGTCGGCGGCTCAGCTAAGTCCTTAAACTCTTCCAACAACTTGGCAATAGTAGGGTCTATGGGCTTCTCTTCCTTAGGCTCAGTGACTGGCCTAACATAGGCTACGAAAACCTGTTCCTCTAGCTGCTCCTTTTTCACTAGTCGTGCAAAGGCAGGAGCACTAAGGCAACAATGTGCCAGGGAGTTATCTACTCCTGACACATGGAACAGGCGGGCAGTCTTAACACCGCCTGACGGACTAGGGAGCCTACACTCGTGCTCTCTCAAATGGAGTGTGGCCCCKGCTGCCTCTCCCCAGTCCATACCTAGGACTATATCAAATGGGAGGCTATCTTCTACGAGGAGAGTCAGGGAATGGAGAACTTTCTCCACTTTCCCATCCTGCTCTAGGCGAAAATACGCCTGGACTCCCTCTACGTAATCCTCTACTCGCATCGTGCGATTGTCCGCGAGGATACTGACTACAGGGTCTGCTAACTTTTGGACCTTCAACTGCAACTTTAACTTCTGCAGTGCTTTCCTACTAATGTAAGTGCGAGTGGCTCCACTATCTACTAAGGTGCCCATTCTACCTCTAAAAATCTTTGTATCTACCAAGATAAGCTGCCCTTTATTCTCTTTCTTCATCTTGGCCTAGGCGGGCATCCTCTCCTTCAACTCTTCGGCCACGCCTGTGAGGGAGGTGCCTAGTGAAAGTCTAACACAAGCAGTCTCGGGACAACTGTTTAGGCACCGACCTGCAACCTCTGCTGTAGGCACATGTGGTGTGCGAGTCTCCTGCCGGCTAGCTCTGTTTTCCCCACATGGCCTAGTGGTAGGGGCAGTTGCTACCTCTACCGGCGGCTGCCTTTTGACCCTTGAGCAGTCGTTCGGGTCTCTCTATACTTAGGACAGTATTTGATGATATGGCCCGGGTCAACGCAGAAAATGCACTGGCCCCGGTCCAATCGTTGTTGCCATAAACTCTGGTCCAGACCCAAAATTTCCCAAGGCCTACCTTGCGGTAGCCCCGGGTGCCATCCTCCTACCCAATAGGGAGACTTGTTCCTAGGACGGTTTTGAGGGGGACCTTGACCCCTTCCTTCCGCTTGGCGGTTCCCTCCTCTGCTGCCAACCCCCTGATCGCCTTGAAACCGGCTCCCTGAGGCCCGACCCCCTTGGCCCTGGCCTCGTCCTCCTCCTTGCGGTCTCCCTCCAGCCGCGACAGTAGCGTAAGTTCTCCCCTGGCCCGCACCGCTGTCTTCTTCCTCTAACCCCCACTCAATCTGTTCGTAGGGGATCTCATCCACACTACCCTCATCTAGAGTTAGGACAAGGCTATCCTTAGTCTTCACTTGCCCTGAGATAGTGCGGCCCTTCCACTTCTTTCCCTTGTCTAAGTCCTTGTGCCAGAAAGTGGAAACTGGCACAGACTTCGCCTCGAACGCGACCATCTCCCTGCTAAGTGCATCATAGGTCATAGCAGGGTCCTGGCTCTTCGTAAAGAAGTGGCCACGCAGCGACTCGGGCATAGCCCGATAGAAGAGGTTGACCAACTGGGTCTCAGTGACCCCATGGTCAGGGACAGCCACTAGCTCGTCCATGGTGCCTTTGAGTGCCCTGACACTCTTCCATTGGCGCGAGTGGATGGTCTGAAGCCTATCTGAGGCCTTGACACTGCGAGCGACATCAGCAAATCGCTCGCGCAACAATTTTATGAAGTCGGTGAGGGGAGTGAACGAGGAGTACGCAACTGGATCGTCATCGCAGTTGCCAGCACGAACTAGGGACCTTGCGAAGCTGGCGGCCTCATCTCTAAGCGCGTGGATCGCAATCAGAACTTGCTGATCCGGGGAGACCTGTTGCAAATGCACATAGGTCTTAACGTTGGCCTCCCAATTTTCAAAGTTTTCCTCCCTCTTCCCGCTGTAGGAATCGGGGAACTTGACTTTGACAGGCTCCCGGCGAGGAGGACGTGCTTCCTCCTCCTTGGGAGCTGCCGCCTTGACGCCTTCAATGGCGCCTACGCAAAAGCGTTCCGTCTTGTCGAGGCGATGTTGTACCTCGGCCCCTACTGCGCCCACCAGTTCACGAGCAAAATCCCGGAACCCCACACGCATGGAACGCACGACAATATCTTGACTTCTGCTGAAGTCATACTGCTCTTCTTGAATCCGTGCTAAGCGTGCTACGTTTTGGGCTATGACCTCTACCTTTTTCTGGAGGTCAACCTGGGCGGCCAACTGCTGATTTATTTGCTTTACCTCCTCCAATTCCTCTGCCACCACTGCTGCCGCATCAACCCTCCTCTTCTTCTCCCTCATCACTGCTAATTTCCACTCCATCCTTTTCTCATCTTCCATCACCTTTCGTCTGAGAGGATCTTTCTCTGCATCCCAAGCCCTCATGGCAGCCTCTTGGTCATCCTTTGGGATGTACATCATAATTTCCTCTTCTTCTCCCACAGACAGATTGGCAACCCATTCGAATATTCTTTTCTCCAAATCTTCTCCACCGGATTGCCCTCTCCCCCATCTTCCTTTCTTGTCCAGTGGCTGTTCGTCTTCCTCTTCTCCTTCAACCTCTTTCAACTTCTCCTCCTCTTCCTTCTTCAATCTCTCCTTCTCTCTGGCCATCTCCTCCTCAATCTTTTTTAACTTGGCCGCCTGCATCTCCATCAAGGCCTTCTTCTTGGCCTCCTCCTTTCTCTCCTGCAGGATGGCGACCATCTTCTCCTCTTCCTCCTTCGTGTACGGCTGGGTGGAAGTACCACCCCGAGTCCCTACTCTACACGTGAAAGTGGGCAAAAAACCCAGAGGAAAGAGGAGACGCCAAAGGGTCCCTTAGAGGGAGAACCCAACAAGCAACCCATACATCGGATAGTCATCCATCGTGGTGTCTGGTGCACGACAAGAGTCCCACTCCTTACCACTTAGACCTACCCGGACACTAACCCAGTGACTGACTCTCTAAGGTCACAACTCAGAACTACTCTAAGGCTGTCACTCCTGAACCAACAGCTGATCAGGAGGCATTTAAGGAGATCCCCCAAACTCCGCAAGAATTCTTTAACGTCGCAGTCAGGACGACGTGATCAGCGTGGTTCTTCCTGGCGATTTCAGCCCACAACTCAGCCGTTCCGGCCTACTGTGCCACACCGAGCAGCCCGCCGGTCTGTACCGGTCCTTGGAGGGGTTCGTATCCCTCGGGACAGTCGAGTCGTCAGACATAGATCATCAGCCGTACTAGGTCCGGTAGGGGAGTGGTTCAACCAGGCCTCAACACTTAAAGACGGCCTTCGTTTCAGCCTACAGCTCGGAGTTCGGACCCTCTACACTGAAACTGAGTGGACCTGCCGGACAGTACCGGTCATTGGGCTAGACGAGTTGTTTAACGAGCGCTCGCCGCTCATGCCCAGGTCTCCATATGCCAGAGTTGAGATTAGTCCTACTAAGTCCCGTGCAGGTTTGGCAGCAAGGCCCTATCCTTCATCCACAGAGTCCTAACACCTAGGACAAAAGAGACTCAATGCAGAAAGGAAAGACAGACAGACTCAACTCAGCAAGTACCGTAGGGTGTGTGCACATCCACAGGGTAAGGGGATAGGCTGAGGGCTCAACGAGATATCACCAACTCCAACTTGGTCAAAATCTTGGTCAGCAGCTTCGGTCAACGCCTTGGTCAACGCTGAGTCAATGTGGACAACCCCCAGTCAACGCTTGGTCAACACCCTTGGTCAACGCCTGGTCAACCCTCTGGTCAACCTTGGGTCAACCCCGGTCACCTCGGCTATGGCTGCCGACACCTTCTCCTTCGTCACCCTCGCCGCTTACTTCACTCTTCTTCTTCTTCTTCACTTTCTCTGTTTTTTTTTTTTTTTTTTTTTGTTCACCCCCGGCTATGTCTGTCTTCTTCTCCGGTGTCCCTCCTTTCGCACCTCTCTCTCTCTCCTTCGGTCCCTCCTTCTCTGTCCTCCCTGTCTCTCTCCTTCGATACCCTGTGATACTTTGCGGCTATGGCCGCTTCCTTCCTCCTCCGCCGGACTGCACAACTCGCCTCACAGGTAAGTAACAACCAATCTTGGATCGCTCATCTCTCTCTCTCTCTCTCTCTCTCTCTCTCTCTCTCTCTCTCTCTCTCTCTCTCTCTC